GGGTTAAGAGTGGCTATTAAGTCTGTCGTTGCATGAGAATAATAATTTACAATTCAGTACTTGACGCACGAACGTTTTATTGTGCACCTGGGTGTCCGAGGTAGAGCTCCGTCTTGTCTATTTTTTCTTGATTGCTCTCAGGTTACCCAATAAAGCCAGTGAATTCATCTGTAGCCAAAATTTTTTATTTCCGAACATGACGCTTAGACGTTTTGTACTTCTCCAAGTTTATTCAAGCGCGCTTGCGCCTCTCACCGGGCTTCGGAGTTGAAAGGGGAGTTTATGGTTTTTAACCATATGTATGAATAACCTGCCTCAGCTAACTTGGTTATTATGTAGAACATCTCAGCAGCCGATAACAGAGTCTTGGACGATCGACCTAATATGCAGTTCAATAATCCAAGTTATTTGCCGGCTTCCTACTGACGAGTGAGCATTCGAGAGTGCGTGGACAATGTTGGTTTCTTCGGTTTCAAGGTACACAGCATAGATTCGTAGATGCTCATGGAAATTTTCGGGGATATGCTAAGGGCAAGGTCCCTCACTCCCGCCTAACATGCTAAGGTGACTGTATTAGAGACATCCTTTTTGCATTGTGCACAATATTCGATTCGTTGTGATTTGCCTGATTGGTGCCAATCCCACTTGGAGATATTGTCTCTCGACAGGACAGTTCGACCTCGCGGACGGTGCCCTACACCGTATGAAGCAGTCTATAGCAAGACAGACTTGCGGGCATATAACGTACTCTCCTCTCCCTCCTCCACGTGAGACCGATGGTAAGGCAATATCAAGGCGACTGTGCCATACTCAACCCGATAAGGGCTGCTTATATCTCATGCGAGACAGTCCCCCATAAACGAGCCATTGAACCGCACTGGCAGTCTTGGTAATGACCCAGATAACTCGCCGTTCGGCAGTCCTCCGAGCCAGAACTTTTAATGCGTTACGGTAGATTTACCATAATGAGAAGTGTGCTGATGTGTCGTGGAGATGGAGTCCGCCTTCACCCGTCGACTGTCCGAACCTGCCTGCGTTAATCGTGGCGTCTCATAGCTCGCGACTACCTATCCATTAGGGCCGAGAGCCTGCCTACTTCTAAGCCAACTTTCGATTAAAATCTCGCCCCCATCCGCCGCTGTATCCTCTCGGTGTTCCTGCGCACGATATTGTCATTGGCTGTGTTGGTTAGCGCAGATCAGTTTTCTAACAACATGGCCATTTTAACGGTTCGGGCGAACGACTTAGTTATAAGCGCGATTTCCGTTTTTTAGTGTCGTTTCTACAGTCTGTTCCCCCCAACTGTTTGAAGATGCTACCAGTCTTTAACAGGGTCCCGGGAGCCCTCGTTTTTTCATATTTTTCAAATAGACACGAGCATTTCAATCAAACTGAAAGGAGTGCCAGCAACTTCAAAGGTGACTGGAGTGGCCATTTCTGGCTTACGGGTAGTCATCAGCTGGTCTCATCTATCCATCTGCGTTCTATACCAAAAAACGTCATATACCAACTGCTTATTGGAACCTTCGCAGCCATTTTGCTTAATTCGTGTACTGTAGACCTCAAGCACTTACCGAGTTGCCGATTTATGCTGTAGATTTCTTCACATTTGACCCTCTTTTCTAACTGTCCATAGCTTCACTCCCGTAGAATGTCTACCACAGCGAAATCTAACTTTACGAGACTGGAGATACAACATTTGCACGAAAAGCCAACGTTTGTCATTAACTGCATGGGAAGCCACCTAAGTATTCGCTAACGCCACTTTTTTGAAATTGAGCTTGATCCTCTTTGTTGTATGGAGTTTAAGGGGCCTCTCTAACGGAAAATAAGTAAACGTTTTCTCTCATTTAGTTCTTCAACGCGGGCCAACAGGACACTGTCGGTGTTGGCCTTGTCCCACCTGGAAGCCAATTGCAACGCCAACGGTCTAGTCCCAATCAATGCGATCCTGCGGATCGACAAAGTCTAAACGCTGTTCGCAGGATGGCATTTACTTCGTTGAATCGATAGTCGCTGAGCGTTTGATCAAAAACCACAAATTCTACAAAGTGCGCTGGGAGGGCTTTGCTGC